CTTATAAAGCATTAGGGAGAAATTCAAAAATAGTCAGATTTATAAGTGGTCATTCAAAAGTAGCTACAGTTTCAAAAGTAAGCGAAATTTAGTCACTTTTCATGTAACAATAAATTTGAACGCGTTCAAAATCCGAAAAAATACTCCAGTATAATATAGCGGTCCAGCATAATATATGGAGATTGGGGCACCGGTGCCCCAATCTCCAATATATTATACTGGAACTTTCTGCGTGTTGGGGTTCCGGCATAATATGCTGGAAGTTCATACACATGTGCACCGATCTCCAGTATATTATGTTGGAAAGTTCCGTATTGCAACAAAATAGTGACTATTTTTGAATGATCGATCCGAAAATTGACTAGCCCGTTCTATTACCAAAATTAGGGCCACCAGCCCATAGAAAAGAAGACCACCCGTTTAGTTGGGTTTTTCCTTTGGAAGATTTCCTGGTTTTTTGCAGTAAAAAGTAAAAGGGAAAAAAAAACATGGTCCTGTTTTATTGCTTTAGTTCAATTTTGAGCTACTTATAATTGGTTAAGAATAATATTTACATCCCCTCACAATCAAGTTGGGATCGACTATTGAATCCTTGTTGACCATAGTTTTTATTTAAATTTATTTTGCGGAAAATTCCAGAAGTGGCAACAGTGGATTAAGAGAAGGTTAAGTGGCAACACTGGTGAGATAACACTGGTTTAGTTCTCTTGCGCCTCAGCTCGGTGCTTTTGGTTCTATGTCATATCTCCGTCTCTTTTTTGCCGTTCTCTTCCTTTTAAAAAAACTAATTAATGTTACTGAAATAATGTTCTTATTAAGTTTTTAACCTCCATTATAGTTGAGAGTTGAGTCCAAATAATGAAGCACATTTGAAATAATTTAAAGTCAAGTAACATTAGCCAAATTCGGAACTAGGAATGACATGCGGTGCGGGTGCGGGGCGGGTTCTGTCTGAACCCGCGCAATTTAAACCCGCCCGCCCCGCATAGGATTTAAACCCGCGTTCATCCGCCCCGCATATGATTTAAACCCGCATTCACCAGCCTGCATAGTATTTAAACCCGGGTTCACCCGCCCCGCACTCCACCCGTGTTCACCCGCCCCGCCCCGTCCCGCAATTTTTTTATATATATAAAAGTTCTTTCTTTTTTAGAAAGCTAGACTTAAATCTGATTTTTTTTAAGAAAATAATTAATTTTATCCAAATTGTTCTTAAAGTCCCATCTTTTGCCACTAAATCTAGTGATTTTCCCTATAGAACAATTTGCATTACAGAAGGGGTTTTAATAATTAACAGATTTATCTACAATTAAAATAAATCTCTCAACTATGTATAAGAATTAAGAGATTTCACTGAATGGTAGTACTATCACTGCACCCTCTCTGCTCTGTAAAAAGCAAAACACACATTGCATTTGCATTGAGACCTGCATATATAGTGAAAAAAATAGTGTAATTTAACCTATGATACGAAGTTAACAGGTTATTAGTTGTAATGTTTATCATAACTATCGATTATGTACAAATTTTTACACAATAAGGAAGTTAAACTCAAGGAAGAGATCTTGTTAAGTGCAATTATACCTTTCGAATGTATGAAAAGCACCGATCTCCCTGGGGTTGATGCAGCGTATATTCAAATTCGATATAAACAATAAAACCAAGATTTAAAATGTATACAATGAAAATATTTTCAAATTAAATCCCCACCCGCGATCTGCCCCGTCCCGCATTATTTTTTAAATTTAAAATTTGAACCCGCTCTGCCCCGCCCCGCAACCGCAAACTCTCAAACCCGCACCGCCCCGCTAACGTTCAAACCCGCCCCGCCCCGCACCCGCACCGCCTCATTGCCATCCCTATTCGGAACTATATGGAGATACATGACTTTAAGTAGGCGTTTGAAGATGTAGTTGTGTTTGGCTACAATTTTTGCAACATATTCGAATGTATTTTTTGCAAAACACTAAAACATGATGAATATATACCCCCACGATTCATTAAAAAGATATCAAAACTGCCCGACTTGATTAATTATCCTACTTAAAACAAACAATCAAACATGATGATTGTTTTAACTCTACGAACGATCTCTAATATAAGTTGCAGTGGCACCTTCAAGCAGATATTCTTGCTGCTTGTGTTCTGTATCTTTTGTTATGGAAGGGGAAAGTGGGTAGTTGTAGGTGTTATCTAGGTTTAATAACTTGGGATCTTTTTATAAATTTTAAAAATATAGGGTAAATTTGTAAAACTTAAAAATACCAACATTCCAATTTCCCAATGAAAAACTGGTTCTCAGCAGTTTTTCCAATTCGAAAACGCATTTTCAAGTTGAATTTCAAAAATTATAAAACTTTCATAACCAAAAACTGTTTTGAAAAAAAAAACTATTTCTTATGTCCAAACGGGCTCTATATGATGTCATTCGATATTGCTTTACCAAAGAATTTTTTTAAATGTATATATATAGCATTTGAAAAATAATGCAAAGGTAACTTCAGTTTGTGATTGAAGTAAACCTTACAGCCTCAAACCAAACTAATGTACTTATTAGAGTTAGGCATATTTCGAGTAAAACTGATAACCCCAATCGAGAAAATACAATTGGATTATTGAATATTGGGTTATTTGGTTAATGATTTGGTAATAATTTAGTATAATTTTACTATTTAATTATTGATTCGGGACTAAATTTTGCCCTATTGGATTAAAGGTTTAACCGATAAACCATTAAGCTTTATTAAAATTACAATTTGACCGTTTGGACTTATTAATTTTCAAGGTGCTATTATTGTGCGTTGTTTCTGTTATATTTCGATAATTGAATCGAGCAAATCTCAAGCTTGAATGTTGTTACTATATTTGTGTGTTTCTGTTTAATAGTGTTGATGTATTTGGATATTGTTTTCTCAAAAGTGCCTTCTTAGTGCTAGGCAAACTGCTGCTGCTAACAACTGGACTTTGGATAATTTTTGCGTAGCTCTACATTTGTTTTCTAACTGCTTTTGTGTTGTTTCTACAACTAATAACTTTTGGTTCAGTAAGGCATTATTTACTATCCATTTGTAAACTCATGAAGCTCTTGAACAAAGAACTCATTATTCATCATGCTATCTCCTTGATCACTTATGACATTACTTTGTCTTATTGAGTAAACCGATAATTGATCGTTAACGATTAATAATTGATTACCCGATACATGATAATCGATATTTTATTGGTTTGATTATCTATTTAGCATATTTATAAATTGATAATCGATATGCCGAACCGATGACATTCAAAATCGAGCCGATCCACAGATACCCACCCCTAATATAACTCTATTCTGTTAAATTTTAGTTTTAGTCCTTAAATATTTCTATTACGCATATTTAATCGTGTACCATTGATTAAAATATGTTTTTGGTCTCTTTACATATAAAATATATTATATCTAGATTATTTTTTAAAAAATGTATTACCCTCAAATATGAAGTAATATTACAAAGACAAAATTACATAATAATGCACTCCATAAGTTGACCTTGCATTATTTTATACCACTTACAAGTTTGCAAATGTGTAGCCAAATATCAATAAGCTTAGATCTGAACTTTTTCCAGTTTTTTTATGCTCTTTATCTTCAAGCGTGAAACATTTCCATTCTCTTTTCTCCTCAAATTTCTACACACATATCACAACTACGAAAATAAAAAACAGACGCGAGAAATCTAAAATCTCATCTTCCTTAATGCTAATCTTGTTAGATTTTGAATATGATTTTATGAGAAATTTGGAGTGGGTATTGCTTGAACTTATTATAATTAGTCTAAGTAGACTGTATGCGAAGTTTGGAGTCATTTAATGGAGATTTGGAATAGTTTTAATCAAGAATTGCAAATGAAAATCGTACAAAAAGTACATCAGAGATGCTTATACATTTTTATATAATATTATACACTTTTATACAAAGAGGTATATTATATATATAGTTGTATAAAAATATATAAAGATGTATAAGCACAGTAAAAATGTTAGTGATACACCATGTATATAGGTGTAGTAGTTGAAGAAGAAGAAGAAGAAGAAAAAGAAGAAGAAGAAGAAGAAGAAGAAGAAGAAGAAGAAGAAGAAGAAGAAGAAGAAGAAGAAGAAGAAGAAGAAATGTGAGAAATCCACCAAATACATGTAAATAATGTATCAACCTTGTATAAAATAATGTATAAGAGGTGTTTATACACCATTATATATTACTTATACACTATTATACAAATGAATCCTATTAATGGAGCTTCACGGGTTCTTCTTCTTCTTTGGGCATCTTCTGAAATTCAACTCAAATCTAGCTTAAATCTGCTCCAAATCACTTCAAATTTGAGTTTTGAACTCCCCTTGACGATCTCAATCAATTGGGCCAACACCCAATCCAAACAACTAAAAAAATTGAAAAATCCAGTTTCTGAAATTGAAGCTTCAAATGACCTTTAATGGTGACTCCAAAAATAATAATTCACTTAAGTGGTATTTTTTCTTCTCATCTTAATAGTGATTGTAAACTTTGAATTTGGAAGGAGAATTGAAGAATATATGTAATTGAGGTGCAAAGTCGTGAAACAGGAAGAAGAAGAACGAAGAAAAGAAAAAAATAGGGTGAGCTAACTGGTGAAAAATAACTTTCAGATCATGTACAACCTGGGCCATATCAGGTAAGAGCTTTAAACGTGAGCCATTTTTTGATGGACTGTTGGGCCAAGTGACAAGGAGAGTAATTTCCCCTATTACAAATTGAATAATTAAATAGTACTAATTTATAGTTAATAAATCGTCGAATTTGTAGATGGATCAAAAGTGCACAATGCAATTAATTGAAAGTTAAATATGCTTAACCAAATATTTAAGGAACTAAAAGGCCCAAAATTTCCTTACGTTAATAACAACATCTACTTATATTACGGAAATCTAAACATATTACACACCCACAAGAAATGGATAGCCGGCCATGGAATAAGTGCGGACTCAACAAGAAGTTTCTTAAGTTAATCTGTCTTCTGGGTGAGGCTCAACGAGAGATTGAATCAAAACTCTAAATCACAAAAAAGAAGAAGAATGGATTTGGTAGACAAGGCGAAGAATTACGTATCAGAGAAGGTGGCAGAAAAAGTGGCGAATATGGAAAAACCAGAAGCAACTATTGAGGATGTGGATGTTAAGAAGATCAGTTTTGATAGCATTTCATATCATGCTAAGGTCTCTGTTACCAATCCATATAAAGTTCCCATTCCTATTATGGAGATTGCTTACGTCGTTAAAAGCGCGGGCAGGTTAGAAATCTGTCAATATTATTTTTATGTATGCTTTGGTTGTCCGGATGTACATTTCTTTTGATCTGCTGAACAAGTGCATGAATATCATTTTTTATTTGTGGTTCCAAATATTGTTGATTTATTTTAAAAATAAATTATTTGATCAGATTAATTAAAATATTTTACATCATCAGAACTTAAACATTTTTAAGTGACATGTCTGTATAAAATTTCTTTACACTGTTAGTATATATTAGTAACAATATGGATTTTGCCTTTAGATTTCCTTTTTGACTTCATCTCCAAGATCAATTCGTGGATTTTATTATTAAATAAATTTGGAGCACGAACTATCTTGCATTCATGGGGAAGGGCCGCATCCTAAGAGGGTGTAATGTAGGTAGCCTAGCCTGACACAAACATTAATGGCTGATTCCACATTTTATTATGAAATAATCCAAATAAAATTTGCTAAAGTTATCTATTGATAGATATTTTTTTTCCTTTGAATAATACAGGATAGTAGCTACAGGTACAATTCCAGACCCAGGTTCATTGAAGGCGAAAAGCACAACCTTAGTAGACGTGCCAGCAAAGGTTCCACACAGTGCAATAGTGAGCTTAGTGATGGACATAGCAGCAGATTGGGACATTGATTATACACTTGAATTGGGTCTCATTATTGACCTTCCTGTCATTGGTAACTTTACCATTCCACTCTCTTATAGCGGCGAGTATAAGCTTCCTACATTGTCTGATTTATGGCGAGGTGATGACGAAGAAGAGAAAGATGAAAAAGACGAGAAAGACAAGAAAGAAGAGAAAGTGAAGAAATTAGAAGAGAAAGAAATAAAGTGACAAGCTGATATATATTGTGGCATTATGAGTCATTCTTCGGCCACAATATATTTGCTATTTTTTGTTTTAGATTTTTTAAAGCCAGAATGTTAGAATACAAGTAGAGGAGTTTGAACGATCAAGTTATACTATTTGAACGATCATATTTCCTTATGTTGTTTTACATGGCTTTTGATGATATTTAGGTAAGACTTGGCAGGTGTAATTGGGTGGTTAATTATTTGATTGACAGTCTTCTTGCCTTGCCACCGAGGGATGCGATAGCATGTACGTGATCTTCACCCTTAATCAGAGGTTTTAGGTTTAAATTCTTTTTTTTTTTTTTACTGATAAGATTTCTTTTATTGATCACCAACAACAAAGCAAAAGAAGCAGGATACAACTCTTCTAAGTATTTATTCCTCCCTAAGATAGTATTGCAGCTAAATAAATCATTCTCTCTTATACAAAAAATATATATATATACATACATTTCAGCACATATACTTCCTGGTCGAGGTACCCTTTGGTTCAACAAAGCATCGTTCCTTGCTAGTATTCCAAGCACAAATGCTCAATAATTTTTGTCTTTTGTAACTCTTGTAACCTGCATCACATCCCCTCAAACTCAATACAATGTAATCTCATGTTTAACCATGCAAAATATCCCTTAAGAAAGCTTGAAAGAAGGGAGACTCAAAGTAGAGATGATCTATTGTTTCCATTGTCCAGGCTACAGATCACACAGGCTATCCTGGCTCACCCCTATTCGCAATAGTCTATTCTTTATCAACAGTCTCCTTTGCACAGCTAACCAGCATATGAAACTATGCTTAGGTACATTATATTTTTTTAATACCCAGCTTCTTCAGGCTTTGAGTTCCAAACGTTCCTTTCATCCATTCATATTCACTCTTTATCGAGTACTTCTCATTCCTAGTAAGCCATCCATCTTGTACAAACCCAGCTGCCACCTTATTCTTAATTGAATAAATCCTCTTTCAATACCAACAACAATCTTGAGAAGGAGTATATTGCCACCATGATCTCCTCAAGTATATAAAATTCACTCATAGATTGTAAGTTTTTGCTGCAGCATTCCATACATTTTTTGCAATTGCTGCCTTATTCCACACAACACAAACAATTATACTCAATCCCCCTCCTTCTTTGGTCTACATACTAGCTCCCAAGCAACCAGTGGACCTTTATTTGTCACCAGTTTTCATCCCACATAAAATTGCCGCAAGCTACTGTTATGTTCTTAATTTAGAACTTTTCTTGGTAGGATAAAGATTGAGGACAAGTAAGTATGTAGGTGCATTAAAACAATATTCACTAATTGTACCCTCCTGCATATGATAGATACCTAGAGCTCCAACTGCAAATTCTGGTCTTTATCTTCTCCACCAGCATTTCACCATCAATTGATGACAGTTTCTTAGCCTAAATAGGAACACCAAGGTACTTAAAAGGCAATGTACCCTTTTTGTATCATGTGAGTTCACATAGATCATTTAAGCACTATGGTTCCATGTTCGCACTGAAAATATTACACTTTAAAATACTTGTGAATAATCCAGAGGCTTTTGAGAAGCTTTTCAACCCCCTTCATCCACAGTATAGCTTGAAACTCTCCTTTGAAAAATAATAGAACATCATCTACAAAGCATAGATGATTCAGCTTAATCCCTTTACACCTTGTATGATACTCAAACCCAACATGCTTAGCAACCTGGTCCATTATTCTGGAGAAGTACTCCATACATATTACAAAAATAAAGAGTGAAATGGGATCACCCTGCTCCAATCCCCTCTTTCCTTCTATGCATCCATGATGTCCTTCATTCAAAGCTGATGGGTTTCCAATGTCTTAGCTTTATGTTTTGATGATCTAACAAACTTACTGTCAAAGAACCAGATAGGGAACCTGACACACTTGGTACACATTGCTAAGCAACGGACTCCAGCTAATATGAACTGCTGCAACTTCAGAAGATAGAGACTGAACACAGGGACCTGATCCCTTATGTTTCCCTGACAGCAGTACGAAAGTCAACTGTGTGTACAGCTGGAAAGTGACTGCCACAAAAACAGTGCAGCACAGTTCTGCAGTCACTTGTCCCTTGACCAACCACGTGATTGCATCATTCAAGTGATGTCATCCAAGTTGTATTAACAAGAGCATTACAACAAAACATCACTTGAACACTTGAGAATTCACTTCAAGCATTCAAGCCATCTGATATTCGAGCATTCAATTCTCAAGTGCATCAAGAACAAAGTTTAACATTACTACGGAAATCTAGTATCTTATTGTTCTTAGTTGAGTTATAACTTTGTAATTGTTCTTCATTGTAACTCCTAATTTGCTTAGCTAGAAGCGTTGCTTAGGAACCCCTTTGTAAAACCGTAAACCCTTAGTGTTTGTGTCGTGACTAGAGTTAGTCATGAGTTGAAGTCTTTGTAATAGGTGTATTGCAAAGTGGCTTGTAATAGGTGTATTACAAATTAGTGAGGGATTAAGAGTATAATTCTTAGATTGCATAGGTTGTAATCTAAAAGTTGCTCATAGTGAAGGTTAAATCCTACCAGTGTAGGTCGTGGTTTCTTATCCCCTTGAGCAGGGATTTTTCCACGTAAAACTCCCTGTCTTATTTACTTATTGTTTCATTAGCATTCTCAGTGAAAACTCATAGAGGACCTGGTACTCTATAGTTTGGTGGACTCATATAAACTATCAATTGGTATCAGAGCGGGTTCTTCCTATCAGGCTAAAACCTAGGAAGGATCCTTATGGGTGCTCCACCAAATTTTGAAGAAGGTCAGTCTACGTATAGACCACCCAGGTTCAATGGGCAATACTATGGGTGGTGGAAGACAAGAATGCATGATTTTATCATGACAGAAGATTCTGAGTTGTGGGATGTTATATGTGATGGTCCTTATGTCCCAACGAAGAAGGTCGGAGATCCTCTGGAGATAATGCCAAAGACCAGAAAGGAATACAACGATGCAGATAGGATAGCTGTGGAGAAAATTTTTCGTGCCAAGAAAATTTTGGTGTATGGTATAGGACCTGATGAATATAACAGGATCTTAGCTTGTCAATCCGCTAAGGAAATATGGGAAGCTTTGCAAAAAGCACATGAGGGAACCACTCAAGTAAAGCAATCTAAGATTGATATGCTCACCACTGAGTATGAGCTCTTCAGGATGAAAGACGATGAATCTATTCAAGACATGCACACAAGATTCACATCCATCATAAATGAGCTACACTCACTTGGTGAAATTATTCATAGGAACAAGTTTGTGAGAAAAATTCTCAGTGTTCTACCTAGTTCGTAGGAGAGTAAAGTGAATGCCATTACTGAGGCGAAGGATCTGCAGGCCCTAACTATAGATGAGCTAGTTGGAAATCTCAAAACTTACAAATGAAGAAGAAGAAGGACAGTGAAAGAAGAGAACCAAAGAAGGAAAAGAACCTGGTACTCAAAGCTGAAGGCAATGACTCAAGTGAGGAGGACAGTGGCATGGATTACTTAACCAAAAGGTTTCAGAAGATGGTCAGAAGAAATGGAGGAATACCAAAAAGGGGCACCACTAGCAGACCAAAGAATTATGATCTCTGTCATAAGTGTGGAAAGCCAGGGCATTTCATCAAAGATTATCCTCTCCTGAAGCAAGAACACTTCAAGTACAACCCTGATAAAGCAGCCAAAAGGAACCCGATTCCTGACAAACGCTTCAAAAGGAAGAATGCCGCTGACAACGTTATGAAGCAAGCTCTTGCAGCATGGGGAGATTCCTCAAGCGAGTCTGAAGGAGAAACTGATGCAGGTGACAGTTCCATGATGGCAGTTGAAAGTGAAAGAAATGAATATGATTCAATATTCGCTTTGATGGCATATTCAGACGATGATGAAGATGATGACAACGATGAGGTAAATTTCAGGGATGTTCAGAGAAATCTGAAATCCTACTCCCCTAAGAAACTCATGTCATTAGAAAATGTACTAATTGATACCTATCATAGTCTGGTAGAAGATAAAGATGCCCTGACCTTAGAACTAGGAGAAGCTGAACAAATCAGAGATGATTTGGTAGTATGTGTAGTTGATCTGAAGGAAACCATAAGTAATTTGGAGAATGAAAAAATGGTTTTAACTGAAAGAATTGCTAGTGTAGAGAATGAAAGAGATGATTTGGTAGTTGTAGCCGTTGACTTAAAACCATTGAGAATTTAAGTAAAGATAAGGATGCTTTAGTGAAGAGAGTGACTGCAATTGAGGATGAGAGAGATGATCTCTTAATAGTAATTGCAGACTTGAGGGAAACTATAGAGAAACTAGGAACTAAGTGTAGGCCTGGAAATTCTGAAAAAGGAAAAGAGGTAGCTAGTGAGGCACACATTAAGCTTGAAAACGAGTTGAAAGCTGCGAGAACTAGCTTGAGTGTTGAACTTGAGAAAAACAAACATCTCCAAAATTAATTGGAAAGAGTAAAACATGATCTTGAAAAGTCCCTTAAGTGGTCCTGGTCCTTGGAAGCTATTACTGCCATGTATGTTAATAATGGTGGAAACAGGCAGGGAATAGGGTTTCAATGGGAGATAACCCCTTACAACCCCCAAAGCAAGTATGTTGCCGTACCTGATAATTGGTTGTGTACCCACTATGGGAACAATGGGCATTTCAAGAAAAATTGCCAAGCCAGGGTCCAGTCTCTTCAAGTGTTTGCTGAAAGGGTAACTACTAAAAGGGCACCAGGTTCTACCCATAAAAAATGCATGTTACCTACATGGACCAAGAGAGCTCTTATTCATCCTCTTACTTACTACAAGGGACCCAAACTTGTTTGGGTTCCTAAAACTAACTCTTGATTTTCTTGTGCAGGGAACAGTGAAAGGAAGCAGTCAACAATGGTTTATGGATAGTGGATGTTAAAAGCACATGACTGGGAACACCATGGACTTTCTTTCACTAAAAGCCCTGCAAGGAGGGAGTGTATCCTTTGGCAATGGGAAAAAGGGGTACATTCTCAGAGTTGGAAAAGTCAGGAAATCACTCACTAACTCAATTGAGAATGTGTACTATGTCAATGGTCTTAAGTACAATCTCCTGAGTGTTTCTCAGATTTGTGATAAAGGAAACAAGCTGGAGTTCTTGTCCAAGATATGCAGAGTTACAAATCTAGTAACTGGTGAAGTGGTACTTCTGGCCAAACGATACAACAACATCTATGTTGCTGATTTCGAGTCT